CATTACCATGAAGATTATTTGGCCCCGCATCCTCGTTCATGGTCTATTGACTTTGAAACTTTGCTTAGCTTACATGTATTAGTTTGTGATTAGGTCAGTTTATGGGGAACCACTAGTGGTAGGTTAATGATATTTGGTAAGCAGTTGTATAAGCATTGGCATATCTCTTTTCCATGGAGATTATTTGGCCCCGCATCCTCGTTCATGGTCTATTGACTTTGAAACTTTTGCTTAGTTTTCATGTTTTAGTTTGTGATTAGGTCAGTTTAAGAGGAACCGTTAGTGGTAGGTCAATGATAATTGGTATGCAGTTGTATAAGCATTAGCACATCTTATTTCCATCGAGAATATTTTGCTCCGCCCTATTAGTCATGGTCTGTTGACTTCGAAGATTTTGCTTAGTTTACATGTATTAGTTTGTGATTAGGCCAGTTCAAGGGGAACCATTAGTGGTAGGCCAATGTTAATTGGTATTCAGTTGTATAAGCATTAGCACATCTCATTTCCATGGAGAATATTTGGCCCCGCCCCCTCGGTCATGGTCTATTGACTTTAAAACTTTTGCTTAGTTTACGGCATGTATTAGTTTGTGATTAGATCCGTTTAAGATGAACTGCTAATGTTAAGTCAATGATATTTGGTATTTGCAAGTATCGTTTCCATGGAGATTATATAGCCACACCCCCTCAGACATGGTTCATTGACTTTGAAACATTTACATAGTTTACAAGTTAATGTTTGTGTTTAGGTTTGTTTAAAGCGCTTGACTTATAGTAATTAAATCAATGGTATTTGGTATGCAGTTGTATTAGCATTGACACATCTCATTTCCATGGAGATTTTTTAGCCATGTACCTTCAGTCATGGTTCATTGACGTTGAATATTTGCATAACTTTCATGTTAAAGTATTGCTATTTCAATTTCAACATTTGCATTATCAAAATTACAAAAAGGCAAGACATATCTTTGTGATAACAGTTTATTAATCTTCCTTGGAGTTCTGTATTTTTGTGATTTTACTTTCCCCTACGGGCTCTTTCTTTTAATTGGTAAACTCGGATGTGCTGCTGGTATGGGTCACTTTTCTGGAATTTAAAATATATTAATGCGGTCCAATTTCACATAGGCAATACAACAATCGTCAATGGGTAGAAATTGATGTGCCAATAGGTCATAAGTATTTATTTTTTGTGATTCCATGTAGTTAACATCTAAATAAAATATATTTTTCAAACCCCAGCTGCACGTTTGTAACCAAATTTGAATGTTGAGACCAGTCCCTCCTTGCCTGTCCCCTGTTATACTCATATAGTTGACAATTCTATACTTAACAAAAAGGGGATTACTACATGCAGTGCTAGTAATGATTTCCCTAAAGCAGCGTTTTAAATAAAGATATAAGTTTCAATAGGTGAAAATATGGATCTATTGAAGTACACCTCTTAGGGTACTATCTACTTTAGAGACTCCGCACATGTTTATTTTAGATACTAGTAATACAGGTTGTTCATGACTTACCAGTCTATGTCTCAAATCTCTGTTATAAACATGATAAAGTAGGTATATGGATTTTCTGTCAAAATCTTCACTTAAGTTGCCCTGAATACACATTTTGTATTAAATGCAATGAAACAGATATAATTGCTAAGAAATTCATTTCTATTTGCTGTTTATACAAATTGGCATTATTTATTATCTTTGCTTTTGGTATTGTAAATTTTGTTATACACAGGAATAAAAAAAGATAATGTTTTATAATAGTCATTACATTTTCAAACGTAATTCGGACACATTTATAAAAATTACAAAAAAATTCAGTAGTTCTGAATTTGTCTGAATCCTATTCTAAATGATACAGAAAGATTCTTAATCCATCTTGAACTTAGTTCTATTACATTGAAAACAATTAAGACACTGTTTAGAAGTTCTGAATTTGTCTTGTTAAAATTCTTGTTTTCGGCAAAAATTCAGAATTATCAGCATCAATTCAGAAGGTAGATAAGGATTCAGAAAATACCAGGCAATACTTCTTATGTAAGACTATTTCAGCTCAGATTCAGATTTTTTTTTCATGAGGAGCAGACAGGTCCACAGTCAATCGTCAATATGCCTGGCCCTCTGTTAAAAAAAGAAGATAAATTTGAAATTGTGCGACCAAACAAAGAAAGAAATTCACCATGCATTGCCCGACGTTGATAAACATAGAGTTATTTGCGCAAATTGCATGCGATTTAAGGGCCCATTCCCATATCATTGTTCAAAGGACATAGAGGTCAATGTACACTTTATAATCTTTTAAGGAATTGGCTGCATTAGAGCAAAAAATGTCATCTCACACATCACCGGTTTGAGTTTAATATATTGCTAGATCTCAATACTGGGACATCGGTTTAACAGTGTAATATCAACACATTATTAGCTCACCTGGCCCACAGGGCCAAGTAAGCCTTTCTCATCACTTGGCTTCCGTCTTCCGTGGTTCGTTGTAGTCTGTTAATTTTTACAAACATCTTCTCCTCTGAAACTACTAGGCCACATTTAACCAAACTTGGTCACAATTGTCATTAAGGTATATAGTTTAAAAAATGTGTGTGATAAACCGGCCCGCTAACCAAGATAGCCAACATGGCTAAAAATAGAACAAAGGGGTAAAATACAAGTTTTATCTATTATTTTGAAAACTGTTATAAATAGACTAAATCTGACTAGGGAATGTTCAGAATGTTGAGCTCTACCTATTGTCTATTTACGTCAAAACTACCTTTTCTTAAAGGAGTACGTGAATGTCAAATTTTACCATTTTTTAAGATTTTTGTCTTTTATCTAAAAAACTGTAATATATATATATATATATATAAAGATCACTATAATAAATGTTCTTGTGTATAGAAATAGATATAGATTACTAATAAATCCAACATTTCCGGTATGAATAGTTTTATTTCACAAGTACTTTCATGTTTTTACATAACAATCGTCGTTGAGTATATAACGACAACCTTAACGACATCTATGACATTACATACCTACCATTACATAGTTACTCTGATCATGTATAGTTTCACCTGAAGATTGTTACGTAAAAACATGAAAGTGTTTGTGAAATAAAACTATTCATACCGGAAATGTTGGATTTATGAGTAATTGCGGTTTTTTCCAACGCAATCATAGGTTTGAAAGTTGTTTTCAATTTAGACTTGTTTATATTTTTTCATTTGAGCTTGTATTATATTTGCCTTCAGGTTTAGATGATTCGTTCCTCCTATTTTGACTCTTCTAAATTCAAGAGTCAATCCCAAATTGAGGTAAATTATATGGCCTTCCAAATACCGTTTCGATTCCTAACATCACTGAAGAGACATTAATTGTCGAAATCCGGATATGGTGTACAAATTTTTGCACCTCATGTTTGCGGTATACCATCTTTTCCGCAAGTTAATTGTTTTCTGTTTGGTATTAAACTAATAATTAAGATCCATTTTTACATCTGGTGATCTGTTTATTTGGCAATCGCCACAGCAGTCAGCAGGGTTTAAGAACATCTGTTGTTCGACCTGCTAGTCAAATGCGTTTTGTTAAAATATACTTTTTCACTTTTTTTGGTCTTTTGGAAAATGTTGTTTGTGCTGTATTTAGACCACTCTACCAAGAAATTTGTTTTGCATGCACACATATAAAATTGCGGTTTTTATCCAACGCAATCATAGGTTTGAACTTTGTTTTCAATTTAGACTTGTATATTTATATATATATATATATATATAAGAGAGAAACTTTTAAATGCAAAAATGATCAGCTAGACATGTTCCACAAATAAGTCTTATGGTTGAAATCGTCAGTCGACTCCTTATTAGAGTTATGTACCTTTGATGACAAATTGTTACCAAATTTTTGCGTTTTGCCTTATATCTTAAAAATGATAATTGATAGATAGAACCTTAGATAGGCAAAAATGATCAGCACGACAAGATCTACAATTAATAGAATATGGTGGAATGCTTATAATTAGGGCCCCGCCGAATGGCGGCCGCCCTATAGTGATCAGTATGTCCGTCCGTCCGTAACAAATCGTGTCCGCTCTATATCTTGAGAACCGTTATGATTTCAAAGTTTATACTTGACATGTATATTAACCAACACCAGAGGGTGTGTCATAATGTATGTTCAACTTCCTAGGTCAAAGGTCAAGGTCAAAAACTTTGGTTTTAGTTGACAATCCCATGTCCTATGGTAAAGATCGTGTCCACTCTATATCTTGAGAACCGTTATGATTTCAAAGTTTATACTTGATATGTATATTAACCAACACCAGAGGGTGTGTCATAATGTATGTTCAACTTCCTAGGTCAAAGGTTAAGGTCAAAAACTTTGGTTTTAGTTGACAACCCCATGTCCTATGGTAAAGATCGTGTCCGCTCTATATCTTGAGAACCGTTATGATTTCAAAGTTTATGCTTGATATGTATATAAACCAACACCAGAGGGTGTGTCATAATTTATGTACAACTTCCTAGGTCAAAGGTCAAGGTCAAAAACTGTGGTTTCATTTGACAACCCCATGTCCAATGATAAAGATACAAATTTTTTACCACACATTATTCACAGTGGGGCCCACAGAGATGGCTCCCATCTCAATGATATCTAGTTGATTTTGTATGACACAACCATTCACCTTGAAGTCATATCAAGTTTTTTGCGTGTTTTCAAATGCATTGTTGTAATGTTCTCATGAGAAGCATGTGACGTCATGCATGTTGAATTTTATTTGGAAATAAAATACATTTTGGAATACCTCACTAGTGTTGTCAGCCAATTAGAATTAGGGATTCTGATTAAACATGCATGTAAATATTTTTCTTTATCAGAATAAAGTATATATATAAATATATATATAAACTGAATATAAAATATATGCATACAATGAAAACATGAAAACAGGCACACAAAAACTAGTTATATTTCATCTAGTACAATAAAGTTATGATGTTCTTCTTTATAGATGATATAGTTCCAACTGAAATCAAATTAATGGCTGACAAAAGGTCGGTTCCCTTGTACCTCGAATTACTTGAGTCAGGATCTGAAAAAAAGAGAGACATACGTTTAGTTATAGTTGGGAAGAATGGCGCTGGAAAGACATCGTTGATTAAAAGATTGTTCTCTGAAGAGAATACAGATGTAACTAGTACAAATGGAATAGAAATCCACACAATAAAATGCAAAGCAATGTCTGATGATGGCATATGGAATAAGTTAGATGGTATGATGTATAAGTTTAAACACAAATGTTTCTCTTTTCTTGCTAAAATAATTGATAATTAACAGTTTAAGTTCCTAGTTTACATATCTTATATGCAAAGTTATTGTGTTTAATTTGTTTGGGGATTATCCGTCAATGTGCAGTTTGGGAAGCATTGGTCTTACAAGATCAAATTCAAGGTTACATTTCAATGATCCCAGGTCGTGAATATTCAGGCTTGCCGAGCGTTTTAAATATTTAAAATTTAACTGTCGAGAGTGGATAAATATCGTATTACACGAGATTTGGTGGTGGAATCTGTTTCTCTAATGATTTTCAAACAATATGCAGGCAAACTTATTCCGTCTTTTCGAATGATCTGTAAAAAGATGTGTTCTTTCTATGTGACGTCATCAGGCATGGTCGCCTTTTTTCATGCTGTCACAATAGGAAATTCAGAGGAAAGCAAGTAAATTCGACGTCATAATCAGATTTTAACCAATGAAGAACTGAGATCAAACGAACCACACGTTGATTAAATTTTTTTTATACAATGGGTGCAGAAAGGGATAAATTGACGAAGAATTAGAGAAATATATATATGATATGATATGATATTGATCACACAGAAATAAGGAATATTGTCATTACACTATTTCATGTTATTTATATTTATTTATTTAAATTGCCTTTTTCTCACATGCCTATTTTAGGAGGTTATTTCGGTGGCTAATTAGATGTTTCCAGATGAAAAATGTTGATACTTCATACAAATTGTGTACCTTTTCTGATGTTGTCTGTGAATCTTCTGTGATTCCGATATACATTTAATTATAAATCAAACTTAAGAGTTCCGAGTCGATTCTGGTAGCTAATGCTGCTTTATCATGTGAAGATATTGATATCAAAATATGGTACGATTGCGAATGAGACAGCTATCCACCAAAGACCAAAGGACAGCAACAAGTTTAACGCAATGTTTCCTTTCAAATTATACAAAATCCACACCGTCTCATGGTTATTTAAGTTTAATTTTTCAAAGTAATATTATGATTCTTAATGCATGCTTATTTTTTGGTAATTTTGAGGAATATCAATATTATCATCAATAGTAGTTTGAAACTTTATTTACCAAAATATTGATAATACGGTTTGTGTAAATTATGCATCAAGTTTAGTGGGTATTCATATCAATATTGCAACCAATGAAAGAAACCCCCTTTACAATTTTAATTACTCGTCATGTATATTTTTGTAGGTTTAATTGTTTAAAACAAACAAAAACTCTGATGGACAACATATTTGTAACTGTGTATTGCTTATTTCATACTTTGATCTTACTTAATATTTCTCACATTTCTTTAATATTATTGCAATTTTCTAATGATAGGAACCGATGAAGAAACTGAAATTCATGCACGACTTTTGAAACAATACAAAGAAACAATTGAAGCATCAGTAGAAGAAGGAATACATAAAGCTACATGTATAAGGGAAAACACACCATTGACAAGTTTTGAGGAGTCAAAAGAATCAGAGAAAGTAACCCAGCAGCCTAAAGTAATGACACCTTCAGTAACCACTAACTCTCTAGTTGAACATCCAGTAACCTCGCAGCAACGTAGTCTGTCATTAGAACAGGCAAAACATGATATTGAAAGCATGCTTAAATCTAATGTTGATTTACATGACAAAGAGGAGTATGCCACATTATTGTTGTGGGATTTTGCCGGAGATGAAGAATTTTACCACACACATCAAACATTTTTATCACCAGATGCGATTTATCTAGTAGTTACAAAACTCAATGAGGCTGACGATAAAAGTGCACAAGGTAATATTTCATATAGATCAACAAATAAGTTATACTGAAATAATACTTGACATTTTATTGTATTTTCTTTATCTTTTAAGTTGTAAAATACATGTATTGTCAAGAATGGTGCTAAAAGTTAAGACACAAAATATGTTAAACAATCAGTCATTCAGATGATTATTATAATAGCTTTTGTATAAAAGACAAATTTATCAGTCACAAATCTGTCATAATTGTATGCTACTGGTCAGTGGTTTTAAAGGTAGACAAACTGGAAAATCCAAATCTTGTCTACAAATGTCATATACCCAAACTGTTCAAGGTTCGACCTCTTCTGTCATAAAGAGCTGTTCCCCCGCAGAGCATTTTATAACATTTATTTGCAAGTTTAAATATGTTGAACAACTTTTATTTAACCTTTTTAGCTCATCTGGCCCAAATGGCCTAGTGAGCTTTTCTCATCACTGGTTGCCCTTTGTCGTTGTCTGCTATTTATAACAAAAATCTTCACCTCTGATTCTACTGAACCAAATTTAACTCATCTTGGCCGAAATCATTATTGTGATATCTAGTTTAAAAATGTGTCTGATGACCCCACCTTTCAACCAAGATAGCCGACACGGCTGAAAATAGAACATAGGGGTTAAATGCAAGTTTTCTCTATTATTTTAAAAACTGTTATCAATTAACATGAGCTAAAATGTTCAGAATGCTGAGCTCTACCAATTGTCTAAATACGTCAAAACTGTTAGACGACTTCATAGAGGAGTTATTGCCCTTAAATGACAAATTTTACCATTTTTTTCACGTTTGCCTATTATCTTGAAAACTGTAATAGATAGAGAGGAACTTCAAGTTGCAAAATTGATCAGCAAGACAAGTTCTGCAAATAGATATGCATGGTCGAAATGACTACTTATTTGTTGCCCTTTGATGACATTTTTATGGTCCCGCAACAAAGTTGTCGGGGCCATATAGTTTTAACCTTGTCCGTCATTCAGTCATTCTGTCATTCCTTCATTCCGTCATTCCGTCATTCTGTCATTCCGTCATTCTGTCATTCTGTCATTCCGTCATTCCGTCATTCCGCAACAAACCATTATACAGAGTTTTTTTCTAAACGCCTTCAGATATTGGGCTGATTTTTGGTATGTGAGTTAACCATGATGAGTTACAGATCAAGTTTAAGTTTCGTTTCGCTCCGCTAATTTTTGCCGAAATTACGGGCTTTGGACTTTGAAAACTGTTGAAAATCACAGTTATACAGACTTTTTTTCTAAACGCCTTCAGATATTGGGCTGATTTTTGGTATGTGAGTTAACCATGATGAGTAACAGATCAAGTTTAAGTTTCGTTCCGCTCTGCTAATTTTTGCCGAAATTACGGGCTTTGGACTTTGATTAATTGTTGAAAATCACAGTTATACAGGCTTTTTTTCTAAACGCCTTCAGATATTGGGCTGATTTTTGGTATGTGAGTTAACCATGATGAGTTACAGATCAAGTTTAAGTTTAGTTCCGCTCCGCTAATTTTATGCTGAAATTAAGGGTTTTAGACTGAAAATTGTTGAAAATCACAGTTATACAGAATTTTTTTCAGATTTTGCGCTGTTTTTTTATATGTGAGACTACCATGATGAGTTACAGATCAAGTTTATGTTTCGTTCCGCTATGCTGATTTTCGTGTCGTTTCAACACATCTTGTTAGATCTGCAGTACATCCACTTCCTGTATGTTGATAGTTTGAAATTTAATTACTCATTGATCAATGAAATTTTTCATCAAACTAGTTTTGGTCTTGAGAGCTGGATACTATCCATGCATGTTTGTGTCCACATGTGTTGTTGAAATTGCAGATTTTTCAACTTTTTGAGACGGGGCCATTCGTGTCGTTCGGACACATCTAGTTTAATATTTTTCATTTTTCCTTATATCTTAAAATTATAATATATAGATAGAACCTCAAATAAGCAAAAATGATCCGGAAGACCTTCGGAACAGTGAGCTTTTGCCATCACTTGGCGTCCGTCGTCATCTGGTGTAAACTATTTCAAACATCTTCTTCTCTGAAACTACTGAACCAATTTCTACCAAACTTAAGCTGAATGATCCTTAGGGTATCTAGAATAAAGTTGTGTTATATTTTCTGTTTCGTCAAAAAACATAGCCGCTATGGCTAAAATAGAGCATAGGGGTAAAATGCAGTTTTTGGCTTATATCTCAAAAACCAAAGCATTTAGAGCAAATCTGACGTTGGATATAAGTGTTCATTAGGTGAAGTTCTATCAGCCCTGAAATTTTCAGATGAAGCTTATAACCCATTGTTGGGTTGCTGCCACTATATAAGTAATTTTAAGGAAATTTTTTGCAGTTTTGGATTATTATCTTGAATATTATTAATGATAAAGATAAACTGTAAACAGCGAAAATGATTAGCAAAGTAAGATCTACAAATAAGTTTAAATGACAAAAATTTTCGATTGACCCCTTAAGGAGTCATTGCCCTTTAAAGACAATATTTAACAATTTGTTTGCTTACTTTAAAAAATCTTCTCCTTTGAAACTGCTGAATCAATTTCAGCCAAACTTGGGCTGAATGAGTTTCAGAGTATCTAGTATAAATTTTGTATTTTATTTCCTTGTACATCAAGAAACATAGCCACTATTGCTAAAATGGAACATAGGAGTAAAATGCATTTTTTTTTGCTTTTGAAGAAAATATGACAGATACAAAGAACATTTAAATGGAATTTTTAAGCCACTCATTAATATATATTGAAAAGCAAAAATAATCATTGATGAAAGATTTAAGCAAAAAATTACAGGTGAGCGATTCAGGCTCTTGAGAGCCTCTTGTTAAACAATACAAACAAAATTTAGCATCTTTTCTCTGATATTCTTATTTAACATGTTTAATGAAGAACGTCTCATCCTCATGAAAAAAAGTACTAAATTCCAATTTCAGTTAATGATTTCCATTAAAAATAAAGAAATGTTTGAGTTCCTATCCATCACAAACAAAAGATTCAGTAACGTTATCCTTATTTTCTTCATATTTAAAAAAAAATAAAAAATAACTAAGCCTGAGGTATTTGAAATAATTGCTGAAAACAGTGCATTATTTATGAATAAAAAACTATTGGCATTTTTTAACAATGCAAACAAAATTTGATTCAAGTAAAATAAATTTGGGGCATTATCAAAGAATGCAAACAAAAAATCAACAAATCCTATTTTCTTCATATTTAAAAAAAAATTCACAATATATTATACAAACAACCCACCCTGATGTACAACAAGTAGAAAAAATCATATGACAGTCAAAAATTTCTACTAAAATAAAGAAATAATTGCATTCTTTTTTTCACAACAAAAACAAAAGTGTATGCATAATTTGATTTATCCTGATTATTTACATTTTATAAAAATAAATTATTCAGATGCATTGAAAATGACTGATTACAAATACCATTGCGTTATTTTTGGATGAAAAGAAGAAATATTGGCATATTTAAACAATGCAATCACAAATTTTAATATCTTTTCTCTGATATATGTCAATATTTAATAAAAAAAAAACCAACCCATTCTGATGTACAAAGAGTACTAAATTCTAAGGGCAGTTCATGATTTCCATTAAAATAAAGAAATAATTGCAATCTTATTCAACACAAACAAAAGTTTAAGTATCTTTAACCTTATATTATTCAGGTCTTATACAAAATTACTTATCTAAAGGGATATATAATGAATGATTGAAAATGACGTTGCATTATGTTTGAGCTTTTGATTTTGCCATTTGATTAGGGACTTTCCGTTTTGAATTTTCCTCGGAGTTCATTATTTTTGTGGTTTTACTTTTTATATCTGATATAAAAGGAGAAACATTTGCAATTTTATGCAATGCAAACAAAATTTTAGTATCTTTTTCCTAAAATTCATCTTATTTTATGAAGAAAAAAAAACAATCCTGATTTACAAAAAAGTACTATAATCAAAGGGCAGTTCATAATTTCTATTCAAATAAAGAAATTATTGCATTCTTATCCAAGCAAACAAAAGTTTAAGTATTTTTATGTTTTATTATCCATATATTAATAACGTTTTATCCAAAACAATTTAGCCTGAGGCCTTTGAAATAACTGATGCTAAAAAAAGTGCATTAATCTTTTATGAAAAGAAGAAATATTGGCATTTTTAAACAATGCAAACAAAAGTTTAGCATCTTTTCTCTGATATTCATCATATTTATGAAAAACAATCCATATGATCCTGTGTATGACTGTGCTTGTGATGACCCCAAGACCTCTAATTAAATTTTTGTAGATCCTTTTATTTGACAGTGTCCATCAAAGTGTTCTATTTTTAACCATGGAACAACTGGTGCCAAATTATTGCTCTCAACATACATGACATAAGCATGTATATACAACATAGGCTTATTCAAGCTTTTGAAACATCCAAACACTACAAGTCTCTAAACTGTATCTATAAGATGAAGAACCACAATCACTGACAATATAACGAGAACCAGACAAATGACTAGACCTGACATCATTTTAGTACATGTAACTTCAACAATTTGATAAGGCTGTTGATAACAAAGGCTGGATAAAATTTTACTTTTATTATATAATATAAATTTACACTTTTGGAGTCAGTATATCAGCTGGGAAGATTTTTCTCCAAGCCCTGTCGACGACACTTGGTATAGTGGGTAGCCAAGCCCCATGGACATGAACACTCCGCCAATCAACTGGAACGCAGAGGGTTCCAAAAAGAGATGAAGCGATGCTTTATCATGTAGCAGGGTGCTACGAAAAGGGGTTGAATTGACGGTGGAGAGATGCAAAGTAGTTAATCAATTTGGGATAAGAAGATAAATAAACCAGTGGTGAATTTCGAAATGGTACAAAGATCAGATGTGAAAAAGCTGAATGACCCCCAAGGAGTTGAATAGGAAAGTTGGTGTAAAGGGATGAACTTATTATATAACACCTTGGACACCTTCAATAATTC